CCTCTTGGGCTCTCTTTTCGGCCTCTTGGGAGCGTCCGGGGGCCCTTTTGGGCGCCTCTTGGAGCGTCTTGGGGGCCTGTTGGGGCCATCTTTGGGGCGATCGATCACAGATGGGGCGAGCATTTTTGTCAGTACCCCCGTCGGGGCCACGATCCTCGTGAGGGGTGTCGAATTTTAGCCCTCCCAGGGATAGAAAAAGGACCCTTTGACCACCCGCGAAACCCCCTCTCCAGGTCCAGGGGGAGGGGGTAGGGGGAGGGGTAAACCCCTCCCCGAAGGGGAAGAAGGGGGGCTGAACAGAGAGAGCTCGCTAAACCACTCACGCCCAAATGGCTGGTGGGATTCGACCACGGGGAGGGAGAGAAAACCAGTGAAACAGAAAATCCTTATTGTCAGGGGGCGCGTTTTAAACGCTGGCCCGTTTGATGCCCTCGCCGATGCGTTTTCTGTTGGCGCCGCGGGGGAACCGGAGGAAGGGGGGGAAGGAAGGGGAGAAGGGAGGTGGATATGCAAGTTTGTAAAGTTCCTGGAAGTCATGTTCGTCCGCGCCCCAACGCCGGCACGTTTCCTCGCCGGGGGCCTTCTTGAAGAGCCCCTTCTTCTCTGGGTCGAGCTTGAGGAGCTCGTCGTGGAGTGCTGCCAGGATGACCTGCTGCGGTTTCATTCCGTCGCCGTCCTCCCCCAGCTCCAAAGCGCCCTCGTTGTGGACGATCTTGCCCATGATGGCGCCGGATATATTCTGCAAGCCACCCAGGAGGGCGTCAGCAGACGTCGTGCTGCTCGTGCCGCTGGGCATGGCACGCGCGGGCGGGAATGTCTGGGGGGCGCGCGTTTCGCACTTCGGACCTCCGCGCTGACAACAGGAATGCGATGGCATCCAGCGCAAGACGACGCGAAACGCCGACGACCGGAGAAGAATCAATAGCCCATCGCGCGTCGCGCAGCGGTCGTCCCCCTTCCCCTCCCCCTCGTTCCCCCCGCTCCCCCTTTCCCCGCGCACTCCGAGGTGGCGGCGGTTTTTGTTTTGTTCCACGCGGGTTTGCCTGCGCCGACGCGCGCCCGCGCCTGCGCGAGAAGACAAACAGAAATCAAGAGGAAGTGCGCTCGAGATCTTCTTCCAAATTAAACGCCCACAAAATATGCAATACGTAGCACCCCGCAAATGCGGATAAGAGTGAGGGGGTGGGCGCGGGCGACGCGGGCGTCGAGCCGGCGGACCTCGTGGCCCTCACCTTCCGTGTCGATGGTGCCCTCCTCATCCTCCTCATTCTCCTCTTCCTCTCCCTCCTTCCTCCTTTTCCTTCTCCTCCTCCTCCTCCTCCTTTTCCTCTTCTTCCCCCATCCCGATCGTCCCCCCTCCTCTTTTCCGTCGTCGTCCTCCTCGTGCTCCCCCTCCTCCTCTCTCCTTTCTCGTCGCCCCCCTCCGTCCCCCCTCTATTTCCTCCTCGCCTTCGCCGGCGACGAGGAAAAGGAGTGGGGGACGGAGGGCGCTTTCCCAAACCAATGCGAGCAAGCGCCGATTTGCGTGCTCTGACAAGTTCAGCGCCGGGGGGATCGCTGGTGGGCCACCCGGAACGAATGCCAAAACAGCCCGCCGTGGGCGCCGAATTTTTGGTTTGTTCCGTGAACATAGTTTGGGTCGTGGGTGGGTCGCGGGCTCCCCACCTCCATCTGGAAGGAATTCAAAAACAGCCCGCCGCAGGCGCCGAACATTTTGATTTGTGCACTGAACGCGGTTTGTGTCGCAAGTTCTCCACGTGGAACGAATGCAAAAGAAACCCGCCGCGTGCGCCGAAGTTTTGGATTGTACAGTGAACGTAGTTTGGGTCGCGGGTGGGTCGCGGGCTCTCCACCTCCACCTGGAAAGGATTCAAAAACAGCCCGCCGCAGACGCCGAACACTTTGATTTGTACACTGAACGCGGTTTGGGTCGCGGGTGGGTCGCAGGTTCTCCACTTGGAACGAATGCAGAAGAAGCCCGCCGCAGGCGCCGAAAATTTTGGGTGGGTCGCGGGTAGGTCGCGGGTGGGTCGCGGGGTGGGTCGCGGGTGGTTCGCGGGCGCGGTTTGGGTCGCGAGGTGGGTCGCAGGTTCTCCACCTGGAACGAATTCAAACAAGGCCCGCCGCAGGCGCCACATATTTTGGCTGGGTCGCGGGGTGGGTCGCGGGTGGGTCGTGGTTGGGTCGCGGTGGGTCGCGGGTGGGTCGCGGGGCGGGTCGCGGGTGGTTCGCGGGTGGTTCGCCGGTGGGTCGCGGGTGGGTCGCTGGGGGCGTCGCGGGGCGGGTCGCGGGTGGTTCGCGGGGTGGGTCGCGGGTGACTCGCGGGTGGTCGCGGGGTGGGTCGCAGGTGGGCCGCGGGGTGGGTCGCGGGTGGGTCGCGGGCGGGTCGCGGGGTGGGTCGCGGGTGGGTCGCGGGGCGGGTCGCGGGTGGGACGACGACAACAAACAACAAACAACAAACAACAAACAACAACAAACAACGAACAACAAACAACAACAAACAACAACAACAAACAAAAACAACAACAACAATCATCAGCATCGCGGAATTCCACTTCAGCCACGCACCCAAGGACAGTGAATGACCGTTGGGTTCAGCCCCTTCACTCTGATGATACGCTGCTCAACCGCGTGGTCTTTCGATGATGCGTTCCAAACCCTCTTCACATCTTTGTTGTTGGTCTCTTCCGTGTAAAACCAAAAGGACCTTGCGACGCCAGATTGGCGGAGTTGCTGGGGCATGTGCATGAGCAAGTGGAATTCGGGGTACACCCTCCATCCAGCAACAATGTGGTGGCATAAGACAGTGGCGTTCAGACGGCGCCACTGCATGAGCCCAAATTCGCTGAGTTCGCGTTGGTCGCTGAGGGAACATATTTCCGATAGAGCTACCAAGGCCTGCGGGCGATGCCCGTCGATCCTCGCATTCGCCACGCGCCCCACGCCAAGTTCAACGTGAATAGCAGCACTCGCCTCGGCTGTGCCGCTATGGCCTTCAACTTATTGTGTTTCCGGGCGCGCACCTTGGTCAAGGTGAGCCGCTCCATTGGGATTTTCGTGCCTGTGCGATGCAACCTGTAGTATTCTTGCAGTTTCGCTTTCAACTTCTGGAGCCCGAGTGCGCGTTTTCTTTGAGCACCCCCTTGGTTGTCCCGAAACGCTCGGGGACAGCTTGGGCAACAACGCCCACCACGCCTCCCCGAGAACTTACGTTAGTATCCCAAGGTCCATCACGCGCATCCAGCCCAGCTTCATCATCGACCACCAAAAGTGGGGTGCCCACACCAGCCGCGGTACAAAACAGAATGGCGAAGTGCCGCGCTGGAGCCGACTCACGATCGACGCATCCTGATCTCGTCTGAATTGTTTCAAATCGGGCCTGTCCCCCTACAGGGAGATTTTCTACGAAAAAAAATAAAAATACCCCAAACATAGTCAAACGCATCCAAAAATAGTGTGGGGGGATCATGTTTACATTATGTTGTACCTTTTTGGTGTGAATATATATATATATATATATATATATATATATATATATTGTCGAAAATTCCCTTGTAGGGGGACGCGCCCGACTTAAGAATTGTTCGTGCGTTCTCGCGGATCGCCACCAGGGTGCTTGCAAAGAACAACTGCGCCAGCCCAGGGGGCCTTCGCGGTAGGCATGGCTTAGGGTCAAGTCGGGCCTGTCCCTCTTCAGGAGGAATATTCAAAAATAGTACAAGATAGTCGGGAACCACTTTTTGATTATGTCAGAGTATGTGAGGTGTTTTGCGTATTCTTATTTAATCGCTTCGCTCATTCCGCCGGCCCATGCGGTCTCATGTCTGCCGTTTGCCCGAGGGCCTGGTGTCAATGCGGCGCTTTGGGGGTTCTTGGGGCCGCTTGGGGGACTCCTGGGGCGCTCGGGGGGGCATTTGGGGGGCCTTCTTGGGGCGATCTTGGGGGCCTCTGGGGCCGTCTTGGGGCGTCGGGAACCGAAAAGGTGGAAACTCCAAAATCTCTCAAAAACCTAAAGAAATACAATGAATTTAGCTCCGGGGGGCCCTCTTTGGGAGTTGCTCTTTGGAGGCCTCTTGGGGCGTACTGGGGGCTATGTTGGCGCGTCTTGGACGATCTTGTGGCATGTCGGACCCTCGTGTTCCATCTTGGGGGCCTCTTGGGGGCCTCTTGGGGGCCTCTTGGCCTTTCTTGAGGCTCTCGGGGACGTCTCGGAGCCCTGTTGGTGCGCTCATGGAGCGCTCTGGTGGAGTCGCCCGGGGATCAGCCGGGACTCGCCCGGGGTACTTTTCGTCCAGGGACCCCCAGGGGCCGCCCCGCGCGCGCGAACTAGAGAATTGTTAACCAGTTACCGGAGATCTTAGCACGCCTCTGGCCCGTTGGGCCGGCGAACTTTTTTTCTGCGTGTCGCATCGCCTCCTAGCCTGATAATGTTTCAGAAGGATATGATTCGCTGCGCTCCGCAGCCCCTCGCGAGTCTCGAGAAAAATGTTTCGGTTTCGAAGTCAAACAGCCCCCGCAGATGCCGCCGCCCATTTTGGGCTCTCGGATGGTAGCGGAGCGTTTCGGCGCTGGGCGATCCACGGCTACAGAGACATCGTCGGCGAAGGCCTGCAAGAGCGAGGGCATTTGAGCTCATCAGCATCGGCAGCGGCGGTGAGAGAGACTACCCATCAGAGGATACTGGTCGGAGCTCGGCAGGTGGCCGTGTGCTATCAAGAAGCAGGGCCAGCTCGCGATCCAAGACAGCGAGGATGGCGACGCCAAGGGAGATCGCCAGAAGGTTCGAGGCGCTCGAGCAGGCGAACGTAGAACTGGTCCAGCAGGCTTGACGCCAGCGGGACCGAGCGGATCAACTTCAAGAGGCAGCCGCGCGCGCCGCTGACGGTGGCGAGGCGGCAGGGGCAGCGGCTGGAGCAGCTGCTGCAACGACGGCAGGGCTCGACTCGACGCCGTTCGACACGAAGATTACGAAGAACCCCGATAGGTTCGATGGCAAGCAGGAGCCCTGGTTCAGACTTGAGTTTCTTGTTCCGTAGCTACGTTGCATCCCAAGACGAGCGCACCATCGAGCTGATGGATAGGAGTACGACCATGGACGAAGAAGTGGCCATGGGCAGATCGTTCAACGACGAGAAAGCTGGAGACGAGAAGCGCTCGAGGATGCCGTTCCACTTGCTGACGGTGAGTATGACGATGAAGCCTCGTGGATTCCATCTGATCAAGAACACGAAGAGCACCGGCGGTTTCGAGGCTTGGAGGCAGTGATCATGGAGCACGAACCCAGGGTCGGAGAACGACGGGGCGCGCTGCTCAACCAGTTGTTGAACACAACGTTCAACGCGGGAGTCGGACGCAGAGAAGCCGTCGAGACGTTAGGGCGTGAGGTCACCGAGTATGAGGAGCAGGCCGAGGATATATTGCCGGAGTCTATCAAGGCGAACGCGTGCTGGTCCAAGGGCCAAAAAGCAAATTCTGAAGTCTCACCTGGCGTTGAATTCGAACAGGCCCATGAGTTATAAGGACATCAGAGAGGAGATCATGGGCTACATCGTGAATCATCGTGTTTGGCGTCGAGACAACGATCAGGTGGTGCCGATGGACGCGCATGCAGTTTGCAGCTGGTACGACAAAGGCAGTGCAGACTCCAAAGGCAAGGGCAATAATGCCAAAGGTACAGTCAAAGACGACAAAGGCAAAGCCAAAGGTAAAGGTACAGACGACAAAGGAAAGTCCAAGGCTGCGAAGAAGGACGAGTGGTGCGACTGGCGCAAGATGGCAGGGCACGCGACGGAGACGCGCAGGAGAAAGAGACGCTATGATCACTGGCAGGCGGGCCAGAACAGCAATACCAATGCAGTCGTTCCGCAGCAGCAACCAGTTCAACCTGGATGCGCGACGTCGGCCATCGGCCCGAACGAACCGGCATCACTCGTGAACGCGATTCCCATCAGCATGTTGGCGCAACATCACCTGGACATGGCGAGGAGACTGGCGCAGTCGACACTCGGCCCATCATCGGCGGTTCCAGGGTCGGTGATGGCAATTCAAAAGGTGAGGGGAACGCCGACCACCATTCAAGAGGAGCGCGCGTGCCCGTGGCCCGACACATACGACGAGGGAGCCATCTACGTGGGCATGCGGCGGCCGCAGGTGCGAGCAGCTTTGAAGGCGACGACGCGGGCTACCTGATGATTGACAGCGGCGTTGGCATCACTACTTGTTCGATGGAGTTCGCAGAGGCAGGACCACAGGGCAGTAGCAACTGGCTTGAGCCGGAGAATTTGCCGCCGCTTGAGGCCGCGACAGGGCAGTTGATCATCCGCAATGGCGCGTGCGAGGTCAACTGCATGGCGACGGCGCTCGACCAGCAGCAGGAGATCTTCAAGATGAGGTTCCAGGTCGCGAGCGTTAAGTACCCGATCGTGGCGCAGCAGGACTTGCTGGAGGCAGGCTTCGTTCCTAAAGTACGGGGTGTACTCTAGCGTGCTGGAGGCGCCGAGTGGCCGGATCTTCCCACTGGTGCAGCAGGGCCGCATCTGGTGCACGAAGGTGAAGCGCGTGGTCACAGCTAGCGAGGCAGCAGTCACGATCGCCCGGCTACGACAGCCAGCGGTGGCTCAACCCATTCCAGTCTATCGGGATGGAGGACAGCCAGGACCAGCAGGAGGCGAGGCAGCAGGAGTTAGCCCAGGAGGAGCAGCGAGCTCATCAGCCGCAGGAGCGGCACCCGCCGCAGCGGCAGCAGCAGCATAACCTGGAGACGCTCAACCTGCTGACCACCTGGAGATCGTTCGCAATCAGAAGGGGCACCGTCGAGCTGTGCGACGGCCCCGAGAGCAGGGTTGCGAGAGCGAAGGGCGTTCCAGTGATGCCGCCGCTTGCCGAGCGTCAACTGCATCGACTTATCCACTGGCCGCATCGCTCGCGGTGCAAGGCTTGCGTAGTCGGAGGAGGGCGCGAAGAAGTTCATCCCAGGGCGGACCAGGGGAGAGGCGCGCCCCATGTCTGAACCGACTACTCGTTCCCAGGAAGGAAGGGCACCGATGACCTGATGACGCGGCTGGTCTGCCTGGACTTCGAGTCGTCGGCTACCGAGAGTGCGAACGTCATGGGGGAGGGCAAGGTGGATTGCGGCGTCGAGGTTTTGGTGCAGGCGTTGCAGTACTGGGGCCGCAAGCGCGTGGTGGCGTCGAGTGATCAGGAGAACGCGATCACGGCGCTTGCGAGAGCGGCAGCAGCCGCACGAGACGAAGAGACGGTGTTGCAGGTCGGCCCGAGGCTCGATTCCAAGTCAAAGGGTCCGATCGAGGCGGCTGGAGGCAGAGTCCAGCACCTCATTCGCGCGCTCGTGCACCCGTCAGTGCGCACTACAAAGTGGAGCCCCGAAGCCAAGCGAGCCGATCAGCAGTTGGTTGGCGAGGCGCGCAGGCTGGATCCTCACGAGGTTTACCGTGAGAGAGGATGGGCTGACACCGCATCGTCGGCTCAATGGACGAGATCACCGCGGTCAGATCGCAGAGTTCGCGGGGAGCGCGATGCACAAATTACCCCGGGAACCGCTGGGAAGATGGCGGCCAGATGGGGCAGGGGCATCTGACTCGACAAGGCGAACGTCAGCGATGAGCACATGATCGGCACACCTCGGGGACGGGTCTTTGTGAGATCGATCGCCAGGGGGCCCGACGAGAAGCGTTAGAACAATGACCTCTTCAGCCAGATCATCTGCGCACCCTTCGACCCGAAGGCAACGCTCTCGGCGCAGGACGCCGCGGACAGGCCGAGGTACATGACCAAGAAGATTCCCAACCGGTTGGGTCGGGCACCTGGCAACCCCAGCTTGCGACGAGACGGGCCAGTGCAACGCTGCGGAGTGCAGAGCCAGACTGGAGGCTTTGCTGGGCGCGGAGGACATTGCGAAGGGCCTGGCAGCGCAGGCTGGAGCGCGAGTTGAGGCACCACCACCAGCTCGAGAAGCGGTCAGGAAGCAGTCGAAGCGTGCACCAGCAGAGGGGCCAGGGCGTGGAGCAGCAGCAGCCGCGGCAGCAGCCGCAGCAGCAGCTCCCAGCACAGCGGAAGACGTGGCGATGGACCATGAGGAGGACAGCGTCGAGATGATGGTGCAGGATCCCGTGGATATTACCGAAGGAGTAAAACGACAGGTCCCAGAGAAGGAGGAGACGCCAGAGAGCAAGAAGGCGCGCGTAGTCGGCGGACTGGCCGTCAACGCCATGTCAATGGAGCTGCGCGCGGTGGACCTCGGCGAGTACGCCGCGGAGCCGTGCGAGGAGAAGTGCCTTTCCAACGCCAAGGGGGCGCTCTCTGGACAGCTGCTTCCAGCGGAGAAGGTTCGCGAAAGAAGAGCTCGAGAGCGTGCCAATATGAAAGAGCATGGAGTGTTCACGCGGGCCCATGTCACGGAGGCGAAAGGCAAGCGCGTCAGGGGCAAGGGTTGCAGGACGGGAAGGTGGGCGCCGACGCTGCGCGGTGCAGTTTCGTGGCCATGCAGGTTGCCTACCAGGCGCGCGATGACGCATTCGCTGGGGCGCCCCCGCTGAAGTTCGTCAGGCTGGCACTGGTGCTGGCAGCGACGTTCAGGAACCGCAGGAAAGTCTACCTGGTAGGGCTCTGGGGCATCAGCAACGCGTCCTGCCGCGCTGAGATGGGCGAGGACGTGTGCGCGGTGCCGCCCTCAGGTGGGGAGGAGCCACATGTAGCGCGGCATTTGCGGAAGGCGCTGTGCGGGACCAGGGGAACGAGCAAGCTGCTCCAGCACGCGATCCGTATGTTGGTGACGGTGGTGTACTACCGCGTCCAGAAAGGCATCTACATCGCGGTGCACGGAGACGACTTCATGGCCGTGGAGGCGCTTGAGGACCTGAGGTGGCTTAACGAGATCCCGGAGGCGAAGTTCGAGGTGAAGCGGTCGCCGTTCGTGGGGCCCGCAGAAGCTGGAGGTGAAGCGACGTCTGGCCATTTCCTGAATAGGACGGCTAGCTGGACAGAGAAGGGTTTCCACTGGGAGAGCGACGCGAAGCACGCGAGGACAGCGGTCGAGGCCTACGGGAAGTTGCCAGCGGCGAGGGAGATCCCGCCGGCTTCCAGGGGCATCGGGAAGGAGGTGCCAACGGCGTTGGACAAGCTGGGATTCGCGGAGAAGCTGTTCCAGTCGGCGGCGCCGACGGCACTGTACATGGCAGCGGACAGGCCTGACATACAGTTCGCGACGAGCTGGATTATGCGCGGGATGCAGGAGCAGCTGGTGCTCCACGAGCTGTAGCTGAAGCGGGCGTCTGCCTACTTAGCGACGCACCCGCAGATGATGTGGAACTTTGAGTATCAGGAGTTACCGAGCGAGGTGACCGTCGGACTGGGCTGGAGATGAAGTGAACCGCAGGAGCCGCGGTGGAGGATTCGAGTACATATGGAGTGCGTGCATTGGCAGCTGGGCTGGTCAGCAGGCGACACTTGCGCGGAGCAGTGGAGAAGCTGAGCATGTGGATATGACCAGCGGCGCTGCGCGGGGGGTCTTCACGAAGAATATGTTTGAGAAGATGGGCAACAGGATGTCGGTGAAGGCGTGCGGTGGCAGCACCGCCGCAATCGGGATATGCTCGAGGCTGGGTGTCGGACGCATCAGACACCTGGATGCGAAGTACCTGTGGTTGCAGGAGAAAGTTGCCGAGGGATGGGTGCGCACCGCGAAGGTGCCGACGACAGAGAACGCAGCGGATCTTATGGCCAAGGTTTTGGAGCCCGCTCGTCATCACGAGCTTGCGAAGAGACTGCCCATGACCTTGGAGATCGCGAGGGGCTTGCCAAATCATGGACGCAGTGAGCTTGCAGCAGCTGTGCGTTTCACAGTGATTGCAATGCTTCGTTGATTTCCACGTGCAGAGCGCCGCCGGGAATCGTGCAGCTCGAAGCCGCGAAGAGAACAGAGTTTCTATTTACTGAAACCGACCTGTTAGGGCCAGACGTCGGGGCGCCGACCGTTGCCCGCAGCAGGTTGATAATCGAGATATGATACCGTGTGGGCTGGAGCGCGATGTCGCGTTTCCGTCAGTCGTCGGTTTGCGACATCTGCCGAGGAGGAGTGCATGTCATATCGCCTCCTGGCCTGCTACTGTTTCAGACGGATATGATTTGCTGCGCTCCGCAGCCCCTCGCGAGGCTCGAGAAAAAAAAGGTTTCGGTTTCGAGATCAGATAGCCCCCCCCCGCAGGTACCGCCGCCCATGTTGGGCTCTCGGATGTTCGCCCAAAATCGGCCTGTAGGGGGACACGCCCGACTTAAGCTTAGGGCCCCAATCGCTTGTCAGGAAGACCCCTGGCTCCCGATACCGCAGGAGGCTTCGTTTCTTCACCGACTTTCGGCCCTCCCCCCCCCCCAACGCTAATGCTTGCAACTCCCAGAGAAGAGCGTCCCAGATATCATTTACAGTCTGTTGCGTCGCATCCGACTTCCTGTGCGCTGTCAGTGCATGCTTGGACTGGAGCGTTCGGCCTTCATCGGCTCCCCGACGCTGACAATGTCCGCCACCGTGCCCTCGGCTTGCAACGGCGCGCGGGGGATTTCTAAAGGGGACTTTTATTCAGATTCCCATGAAGGAAGATTCATGCGTATGTTGCGATTGCGATTCCTATGGATATGTCATTGCGAGTCCCATGGGGGTCTCCCAGGGGATTCGCAGCGGGATTCCGATGGAGATTTCGATGGAGATCCCGATGGGGATTCCGATCAGGATTCCTATGGAAGTCCGATGGAGATCCCCATGGGGCTCCCATGGAGATTCCCATAGCGATTCTTCTGGTAGTTCCCATGGGGATTTCTGTTGGGATTCCTACTGGGAGTCCGTCGGGGATTCATATGGGGATCCCTACGGAGAGCCTTGCAGACACCCCTTGGTGGGAATTTCAATGCATCTCCCTGTGGAGATACCGATCGCGATGCGCGCGGGGATTCCGATGGGGACCCCCACGGAGATTCGCATGGGAACTCCCATGGACAATCCGAAGTGCACGAGAAAGACAACACGCCGTGACCACCCGCGCGGGCGTCAGGGACCTCCCGCCACGGCCCGAGCAGGCCTGGCCGCCGAGACGGCCCACGATGCCGTCCGCAAGAGCCCAGCACGGCCCAGTGGAGAACCAAGGAAGCCCACTGTATCTCCTCCTCCTCCTCCTCCTCCTCCTCCTCCTCCTCCTCCTCCCCCTCCTCGTTCTCCTCCTCGTCTCCTCGTCTCCTCCTCCTCCTCCTCCTCCTCCTCCTCCTCCTCCTCCTTCCCCTCCCCCATCCCCCTCCCTCTCCTCTCCCTCCCCAGCCCCGCCCTGAAAGCCAATGCGCGCCGAGACGGCCCAGGAATGCCCCGAAACAGTCCGAAGATGCCCCCGCGAGCGTCGGCGAAATGAGCCGTAGGCAAGCGTATACGTGCACAGCGCACAAGCTGTCTTGGTAAACGTCGACTCCCGCAGCAATGCCGTCCTCGTATATCCCTACAGGCACCACCGTCTCTCCCCGAGGTAAGCACTCTTCCATGAAGTCGTGGCCAGTGTGCGCTGGCGAATTTGCGAACGCAGACGCATTTGTGCCAGATCGGTCCATTTCTTGCCCACCGCGCTCTCGAGGCACGAGTTGGAGTGCCCTCGGGCCCCTTGTAAGCATCACTCCTCGGCCCTTGGGGTTGAACTGTCAACGGGCTCGGACCCCAAATCGCCAAATCTCCTAGAGTTCGGCGCCGTTCCCCATGGGGTTTCCGGCGCGGTGGCGCGCAGATTTCCCCAAGAGAGCTGCGCTGCAGGCCAGGAGGGCCACAGGAGGCCTCCGCAGCTCAGGCGGGCCCCGAAGCGCCCAAGCATCGCCCGAAGACGCCCAAGATGGCGCCCAGGCGGGCTTCGAGGCCTCCGAGACGCCCCAACAGGTCCCCCAGGAGGGCCAGAATCATTGGTTTTCCTTAGGTGTTTGAAGGATTTTCGCATGTGCTCCTTTTCGGCTTTCCGACGACCCAAGACGGCCCAAGAGGCCCCCAAGATCGCCCCCGCAGCGCCCAAGAGGCCTCCAAGATGGCCTCAGGACTGCCCAAGAGGCCCCCAAGACGGCCCCAAGAGGGCACGAAGCCGACCCAAGAAGTCTCCAAGACGCCCAAGATGGCCTCTAAGACGGCTCTGGAGCACCCCATGAGGGCCCCAAGTCGGCCCAGAGAGGCCCCCCAAACGGCTTCTGACAGCGCCAGACGGGCCAGGAGCCCACCAAGACAAGATGGCCAAAGTTGGCTCGAAGCTGGCCCAAGACGGCCCCAGAGGCCTCCAAGAGGGCCTCCAGGAGGGCCAGAAAAGGCCAAAAATATAGATTTGCTTTGGGTTTTTGAAGGATTTTGGCATTTGCTTCTTTTCGGCCATCCGAAGGCTCGATACAGCCCAAGAGCCCTCACATATCGATTTCCCATGAGTTTTGTTTAAAGGATTGTGGCATTTGCTTTTGTTTGGCCTTCCGACGGCCCGAGACGGCCCAAGAGCCCCCAAATATCGCCCAAGAGGCCCACGACGGCCCCAAGGGGCCCCCAAGACGGCCCAAGAGGCCTCCAAGACGCTCAAGGTGGCCTCCAAGACGGCCCAAAAGCCCTCGAAGACGTCCGCCAAGAAGGCCCGAAAGGGTCCAAATGGCCTCCAGACGGCCAAGATGACCTTCAAGATGCCCACGTGTTCCCCGAAGGCTTTCCAAACCGATTCGGGGAACACATGGTCCGATAGCTTGGCAGGTCTGGCCTCAACGTTTGGCCACATAGGCGCTTCCAAAAAGGCAGGGGGCGGCGGTGATTCGCCGTAGGCGTCTTAGATCCGCCGCCCCCCTGCGACTGTCGATTCATCGCAGGGGTGCCTGGCGTGCTGAATTATTTCGGTTTTGGTTTTGGTTTTTTTCCCAGAGAACTCCCCCTGGGGCTTCGGCCCGTCCCGCCGGCCACCCGCTTAGAGGCCATCTTGGGCGTCTTGGAGGCCTCTTGAGTTGTCTTTTGGCTCTCTTGGGGCCGTCTTGGGGGCCTCTTGGGCAGTCCTGAGGCCATCTTGGAGGCCTCTTGGGCGCTGCGGGACGATCTTGGGAGCCTCTTGGGCCGTCTTGGGTCGTCGGATGGCCGAAAAGAAGCAAATGCCCAAATCCTTCAAACACCCAAGGCAAATCGATGATTTTGGCCTCTTCGGGCCCTCCTGGAGGACCTCTGGAGGCCTCTTGGGCCGTCTTGGAGGCCTCCGGGGGGCCTCTTGGGCCGTCTTCGGCCGTCTTGGAGTCTCTTGGGCCGTCAGGGAGGCCGTCTTGGACCATCTTGGGCGGACTTGGAGGCCATCTTGTACCATCTTGGAGGCCATCTTGGGCCAACGTGGCCATCTTGGAGACCATCTTGGGCCATCTTGATGGAAAAATTGGGACAATTGTCGGCCTTTCCCCAAGAGGGCCCCAAGTCGGCCCAGAAAGGCCCCCCAAATGGCTTCCGACAGCGTCAGACGGGCCAGGAGCCCACCAGGATGGCCGAAGTTGGCTGGCAGCTGGCCCAAGACGGCCCAAGAGGCTTCTAAGAGGGCTTTCAGGAAGGCCAGAAAGGGCCAAAAACATTGATTTCTTGTTGGTCTTCGAAGGATTGTGACATTTGCTTCGTTTCGGCCTTCCGACGGCCCGATACGGCCCAAGAGCCCCCAAAGATCGCCCAAGGATCGCTCAAGAGGCCTCCAAGATGGCCCCAGAACGACCCAAGAGGTCCCCAAGACGGCCCCAAGAGGCCCCCAAGACGGCCCAGGAGGCGTTCAAGACGCCCAAGATGGCCTCCAAGACGGCCCTGGAGCATTCCAGGAGGGCCCCAAGTCGGCTCAGAGAGGCCCCCCAAACGGCGTCGGACGGCCCACCAAGACGGCCGAAGATGGCCCGAAGACGGCCCAAGAGGCTTCCAAGAGGGCTTCCAGGAAGGGCCGACAAGGCCAACATCATTGATTTCCCATAAGTTTTTAAACGGATTGTGGCATTTGCTTTTTGTTTGGGCTTCCGACGGCCCGAGACGGCCCAAGTGCCCCCAAAGATCGCCCCAAACGGCCCCAAGAGGCCCCCAAGACGGCCGAAGAGGCCTCCAAGACGCTCAAGATGGCCTCCAAGACGGCCCAAGAGCCCTCCAAGACGTCCTCCAAGAAGGCCCGAAAGGGTCCAAATGGCCTCCAGGCGGCCAAGATGACCTTCAAGATGCCCACGTGTTCCCCGAAGGCTTTCCAAACCGATTCGGGGAACACATGGTCCTTTAGCTTGGCAGATCTGGCCTCAGCGTTCGGCCACATAGGCGCTTCCACAAAGGCACGGGGCGGCGGTGATTCGCCGTAGGCGTCTCAGATCCGCCGCCCCCTGTCGATTCGTCGCAGGGGTGCCTGGCGTGCTGAGTTATTTCGGTTTTGGTTTTGATTTTGGTTCTTTTTCTACAACAATCCCCCTGAGGCTTCGGCCCGTCCCGCCGTGGTGCCGGGCGGATTGCCCAGGTGCTCAATCCAGGGAAAAATCTTCCAAGACGGCTCAAGATGGCCTCTCAAATAGCCACGTTGGCCCACGATGGCCTCCAATACTGTCTCCAAGTCCGCCCAAGATTGTCCAAGACGGCCTCCCAGACGGCCCAAGAGAGTCCAAGATACCTCCAAGGTCGCCCGAGAAGTCTCCAAGATGGCCCAAGACGACCCAAGAGGCCTCCAAGAGGTTCTCCAGGAGGGCTCGAAGAGGCCAG